ACCACTATCGGGTGGAAGCGAAGGTAAGGCAGCGTTCAGGTTCGCCTTTGACTCATCTGTTGGATAGGGAACACCACCACCACCTGCTGCCGCAATGTTGCTGGGCTGCAGCATATCCTGCGACATCAACTGATAGGATGGAAGCTCAGGCGCATCACCCAGATCGATCAACTGCGCGTTGTTCAGTAGGTTCATGTCGGGTGTGAACTCCACCTCATAACTGCGTGCAATCTCAACCTAACAAATCAATCACTCCAAATATTGACTGTACCAAATAGGCCTCACACAGGTTAGCTGGAGGTGCTTTCACATTCAGCTTGTGCATAACTTTCGGGTTGACGCTGTGGTTGGCGTTAGTCGAGCAAACTTGAGCAAACTCACGACCATACTTAATCGCAAATTGAGTTTTGAGCACTTCCAGCTCTTGACAATCATACGACAAACGTGGAGCCACCCATATAATTGTGGCTATGGCTTCCTTCAGACCTGGATCGCACTCTCTATAATTCCAATAAATCTCCATGTCGCAGTAAACACTTACACTGTAGAGGTAATCAGACCAAGTCGTGTTACGAGCAACTCGCAATAGAGCTCAATGATTTCCAGAACTTCCAGCAAATAATCTTCACGGACGATCTGTTCCACACGAATGCGAGCTCGGTCTATTTTCTTCGCTTTCAAGTACTCCGCCAGTTCTCTTCGGGCACGGACATTCAGCTCGTTCTTCTTTTGGTACAGATTCTTCAGTCGAACAGAACAAATGCGCAAATTTGTTTTCAACTTGTTGGGATCGAACTTCGGCGCAAACATCTCAGACGGAGGAACACCAGGCAAATCACAACCGGAAAACGCGGCTCGATGTTGACTCATTCAAACAAAGCAGCCTTGATTCCACTGTTTTAGAGAAGCCAAATACACGACATAGAAGTAGATTTGTAGAGGATAAGCATTTCACATGCACTTTGTCACGGCACAATTGATTTTAGCTTTGAACCACACATAATTCGGTCAAAAATCAGCTTTGATTCTACCCCCTTTACAGTATTTACTGATAGCGTTCACTTCGACACACTCATTTGCAATGAAAGATGCAGATTGGGTCTTAAAGCACAGGAGTGCCTTCAAGTGAGTGCACAATACTTATTTGTCAGTGATATATCCTTATGGTGTTTCAATCGTGCCAATTGAACTTGACACCACATTTTAAATGCCTTATCAATCTTGGTCTCATAGCTTATTCTCGATTGTGTCCACACAACAGCTTACTAAGTCCTATTGATTTGGTACAGAAGTAGCGCGTAAATAATGTTTTGCTCCGAGTCTTCGCAGTCCATTCTTGATTGTGTTCGTGCTTTAACTCAGTGCTTCCAAATGAGGTACTTTGATGTGGAGCGAGACTCATCGGTCTCCGTTTCCCTGTTCCTGGCATTCTTTGACATGCCAGGTTGATTCGTTTTGGACATATTTATGAAAGCTGAAAAGATGGAGAGGGAAAATACAACGTTTAAGAAGGAGGGGAACCGCAGTCGCTAGGTACGGGAGAGGACGATTCGGTCACGAGATTCGAATTGCCTGATTGCCTCCGCCCTGAACGGTACATTAAATCAACATAAGTGTTGCATTAAGGGTAGTGCGTAAATGCTGTGGTGACCCGAGGCTTAGCAGTCGGTGTACGATGTCACAATAGTGTGGCAGAAGTGGTATTGCTTCCATACAGAGGGGCTGCTGAGAGACTACTGGCACGGTCCTGAGGCCGTACCGTCAAGCGAATGCGCAGTCTACGAGGATCAACTGCATAGTTGAACAGACGATGGAGTGATTAAAATGGCAACACAGGACTCCTTTGTGAAGCTCTTACCGTGCAAATGCTTTTTGTCTGTGGAGATTTGTCAGCGTTATTTCTCCCTTGTTTGTCAGATCTCTCTCTCCCTGCGCACCTCTATGGTCATCATATTTCTGTAAAGATACTATGATTTACTCTTCCACAAATATTTTGATAATAACGAAAGATGTTGCGGGCGGTTACCACGCTACATTGTAAGGGGAAGTGCGCGATTAACTCTGTATCGCCCTTTTAATGTCCGTCTACTGGTCTGTTTCCAAATTCCGAATTGGGGTTGCGTGACTCATTGACTCGTTAATAATGTGCTGTGGAAAGTGTTAGCGCCCCTCTGCCTGGGTCTTGCGGTGATGACAAGTTACCTCCCCTCACGCAGCCCCTGCAATCAGTCTCCTAGCCTTTGTGTGGGATGTTATTAGGGCTGCTTCAAAAGTTGCGTGTTTACAAAGGGCTTTGTGGTAAAAATTGCACACCACGGTGGTGGAACACACCACTGCCAATGATTGGGGCGGTTGATTGCTGCAAATGATAGCTTACTTTGGTGAGGATTCAACCTCCAGTCCATTTCTGCACCATTAGGCAAACAAACCGATATTTACCTTGAAAATTACTTAAGATTTTTATTTGGGAATCTTTTCTAACCTACTTTGAACAATGGGTATGCCCCGCAGTGGAAACTAGAACAGTTGTGTAATCGAATCCAGAGATAAACAAACCATCGGAGTACTAACATTAATATCGGAGGCCTCGGCGGTTTGGGACATTTGCGTGCCCATTGTTTACTAACTCGCAATTGTCTGTTTTCTAATTTACTATAGATGCAAAGCATTCAGGAGTCCAAATTGCAAATGATGAATGAAGACCATAAATCCTCAACGAGTTGGACTCCATCCCGGCTAATACCACTTATGCCCTGATCTATAATGTCCTTGAGATGACGATCCTATGTGATGGTACTATCAGGTATTCCAGAAAAATGAGTTAACTTTTCTCGACAGGGACAGGTGTAGAGAATGTAACAGCTGCTGTCTGGATGACAATGAAACTAAGCGGTGAATAAGTCGATAGGAAGCCGGTAGACGTTACTTCCGGCTTACAGCTTGCAAGACGCATTCACCTTCCCTTTACTCAGAAGTGTGTGGGCAGCGCTCAGATCAAGCGTTGCCATTTTCAACCACTATCTCGGTGGGTAACGGATGTCGGCTTAGGGGGCCTGTCCAAATGACCTTAACCAACTTGATGTCCATTAACCTGATTAAAGGTGGCTGCTAAGATCAACGGCCTATGTGTCAACCGCTAGGGCGTAACAGGATACAATTATCATCCACTCCTGGATGCGGTATCCCCACGCATGCATCGCTGTTTGTATGCGTGGTCCGCGCAACCCAAAGTCCCGTCCTGACTTGAACATCCTGCTTACGTTTCATTTCCCTCAGTTTTCTACCCCTAAATGAATACATAATGCTGATTTGGAATTTTGTAGCCATTGTGCAATAATAATAGGTATTTTTTACGAATAGTGGCTTGCTTTTTACGCTCTACCGATGGGGTTATCTCCAAGCCAGTGACACGGTAGGGCATGACAGTTGAAATCATGCCATGAAAAGCTTTTTGCACCCTCAAAACAGGCTCTCGTTACACTGTTGGACGGTTTTTGTCAGGGCTGGGTGAGCCGAAACAGCATTTCAACTGCCAGAATAGTCACCAGCTTCCGACTCCTGAGTGTCCTATTCACGTCACCTCAGCAGCGAGTGGAAGACGCATCCCTTACACTGGTCTCGAGGCACTTAGGATGAGTGACCAAGGAAGGGAAATACGTCAATTAGTCCCAATCTCCTTTTGTGCATTTCGTTGTTCAAACCGACTTAAAAGGATTGTCGGCAATACAAACAGCCTCATCTCCTCGCTTCCTTGGTAAACAATTTGGTAAAGCATACATTTGAGGCTATGCCAAAATCCGTGGTGTTTGGAATTCGTCCTAGTGCTCTATCTAAGGCTGTGATGCAGCACCCTAGGACTTCCATGCAGACGAAAGAAGACACAACAGTGGGGCAGAGAATGTACTGTTGGCATAAAGAAGGGATTGGAGCTACTGGCATGACTCGGAGGGCAGGCCACACAGTGCAGGAACAACGCCGAAACACCTGAGTAGCCTGCTACCGAATCCAAGTGTTGAAGAAGCAATGCACTTGGAACACCATCTCTGGCCTCATTTAAACGTCGTCACTGACGCTCCCCTTGGTCTACTTCTCGCATCGACCACCACAACGTAGTTGGTGTTGTAAGGAAACACCTACCAGTCAACGGCACCAGTCATTGAATTTGCCTGCATCTGAGGTGACACTCGACGGCAACCTCACTGATCCCTCTTGGCAATTCTACTGGATGTGGAGTTGTGTCCCGTTGAGTGGAAACTGGATTCGTGGAGAGGGGAAGGGGCTGGCCATCGCGCGTGTCCATCT